GATTGTCAACAACATTAACAAACAAGCTTGCTTATCCTATTTTGATCCTATCCTTAATGATGTTAGGGAAATAGCTAAAGGTTTCTCTAAACTTAGCTTTTCTTTTGCTAAACGGTCTGCGAACAAAGTTGTCTACTTGCTAAAAATGTAAGTTACAGCTGGTCATGTGAAAAAAAAAAAAAAAACGATGTCATTTTTTGATTGTGATCTACACAACTGTGCAGAGATCACGGTCTATGCAATAACTATTGAACCATAGCGTCCAACAATCCACCACTGCACCAGTGCACGCCAAATCTCAAAGGCTACGGTACTGATGATCGCGCGTAACCCACTGCACCGTACCCCTCTATCAATGATGATTCCAACAATCCCTAAACATGATTTTGTTTTTTCGCCTTTAATTTAATTTATGAGTTTGGTGTAATGCTCGGGGCGCTTTGCTACACATTTCCGGGGTTTGCTACATCTCTCTAGACTTTTCTAGCACATGTACATAGCATCCCATAGTTGGTAGAATATTCTAGAATCATCTACATAAAACTAGGGGTAGTAGAGATATATAGAATATTCTAGAATATTAGGGAATCCTCCTACTTGTGTAGAGAGTTTTGGAGGATTCTAGAGAATTCCACCATGAGGAGGTGGAATAGATATAAATACCCCTCAAGGGGGCTCATTTGTAAACCATCCAAGGGATCATCCAAGCAAAGTTCGAGTGCTCAAGCAATAAAAGCTGTCAAGTACTTTTGCGATATTCTTGCCTACTTGTTTTCCTAGCCATTCCGCCGATTACTTAGCATACTTTCGAGGGTTGAACGAGAGGCTGACTTGGCTATTTAGAAGGGAAAAATAGCTAAGGCCCCACGTGGCGTCGTAAGGGGAAACGAGTCTGTGACAGTTGGTTTCAAAGCCGCGTTCGTGATTGGATTGCTAGTTTGTTGCGATGGCTAACATGGAGGATATTCGGTTGTCGGCCATGGCCGCGGAACGAGGGAGGCAACCCATTCCAACACATGGCAAGAAGAGGTGCGACCAAAGCAAGGCAAGAGAGGTTGCCGCTTTGGAACATATCGTGGGGGAATTTGGCGATAGGCTCGAGACGGTCGAGTTCAACTTTAAAACACTTAAAGAGCATGTTATGGGGGAGTTCGATAGGGTCAAAGACGAGCATCATGACATGGAGGATCGTATTGACCGATTCGAGGAAAGAGTAATGAGCATGCTCGAGTCGTTGCAAGCGAGCATTAAGACGATGCGAGAGGATCTTGCACTATGCAAGAAGGCCGCTGCGAGTGGAGAGGCGACCACTTCCACCTCGAGCCCGAGGATAGAGGTTTCACGACCGGCATGTTTCAAAGGCGTAAGGGACGCAAAAGAGGTAGAGAATTTCCTTTGGCGAATGGAGCAATATTTTGAGAACCTTAGCCTCACCGACGAAGTAAAGAAGATCAAGGCCGCTACCCCATACCTTACTGATACGGCTATGCTTTGGTGGAGACGAAAGCATGCCGACATTGAACGAGGGATTTGCCGCATAGACACATGGGAGGATTTCAAGAAGGAGCTTAAGCGACATTTCTACCCCGAGAACGTGGTCTATGATGCACGTAGACGACTTAGGGGGTTGAGGCAACGAGGGACTATCCAAGATTATGTGCAAGAGTTCACAACTCTTAGGCTTCAAATCCCCAACTTGTCCGAGGAAGAGTTACTATTCTACTTCATTGATGGACTACAACAGTGGGCAAGACAAGAGGTAGAACGACGAAATGTTTGATCAGTAGACAAAGCAATTGCCATCGCCGAGTCGCTAACCGACTTTCGTTCCCAATACCACTTCGATCTGTCAAAGAGAAGAGATAAGAGTCCAACAATAGGTGGGGGAGAACGCCATGATGGTCGAGAGAGGGACAACACAGGGAGGTCACCAACTATGAATAGGGACAAGGGCATCGCGCGAAGGGAGTACGAGGAAAAGAAGAATGCATTCGTGTCGAAGCTTGCATGCTACGTTTGCAAGGGGTCGCATCGCATGCGCAATTGTCCAAAGCTTGGTTCACTTTCAGCTATGGTGGAACAACATGAGGCCAAAACCCACGAGGAAGAGGAGACAAATAGGATGAGATCGCTCCAACTTCTCACTGCCCTTAATGCCAAAACAATGCCAACGACGATGAACAAAGGGTTGATGTACGTCGAAGCCTTGGTGAACGGTAAGCATACACAAGCTTTAGTAGATACTGGTGCTACACACAATTTCGTGACCGATGATGAGGCTCGAAGACTCAGTCTTCGTTGGACGAAGGGGGAAGGTAGGCTCAAGCCTGCCAATGCGAGAGCCCAACCGCTCAACGGCGTAGCACGAGGCGTAGAGTTACACTTAGGCACTTTGAGGGGCCGAGTAAAATTTTCCGTGGCACCAATAGATGATTATAAAATTGTGCTTGGGATGGACTTTTTCCGTCAAGCCACAGCCATCCCCATGCCATCTTTTAACACGATATGCATTTTGGAAAAAGGGTCCTCATGTATGATCCCAACCTTCGAAGCTCCCAAGAGGCAAGTTAAAGGGATACAACAACTATCAACCATGCAAGTTGTGGAAAGAGCCACGAGAGGCAAAGCCAATGTTGTGATCAATGCTTGGGTAGACAAGAAGAGGAGGCCACGAGAGTATAAGCCACACCATGAGGCCGTGGAAAATTGAAGTCGTGGGACGTCACAAAAAGCACCACTCGTGGTAACTAAGTTTTTCAACCAAGGAATATACAAGGAGCTCACATCGAGGGTAGTTCATAAAAGAGGAGTTCCGCCTCAAACACATTATCTCATTAAATGGAAGGAATTACCCGAGTCCAAAGCATCATGGGAGCCGGAGGAAGACTTGTGGCAATTCCAAGACGTTTGGAGGCATACAAGGCGACGAGGGCGTCGCCGAATTAGGTGGGTGAGATGTAACGCGCGGGGCACTTCGCTACACATTTCCGGGGTTTGCTACATCTCTCTAGACTTTTCTAGCACATGTACATAGCATCCCATAGTTGGTAGAATATTCTAAAATCATCTACATAAAACTAGGGTAGTAAAGATATATAGAATATTCTAGAATATATTAGGGAATCATCCTACTTGTGTAGAGAGTTTTGGAGGATTCTAGAGAATTCCACCATGAGGAGGTGGAATAGGTATAAATACCCCTCAAGAGGGCTCATTTGTAAACCATCCAAGGGATCATCCAAGCAAAGTTTGAGTGCTCAAGCAATAAAAACTCTCAAGTACTTTTGCGATATTCTTGCCTACTTGTTTTCCTAGCCATCCCACCGATTACTTAGCATACTTTCGAGGGTCGAACGAGAGGCTGACTTGGCTATTTAGAGGGGAAAAATAGCTAAGGCCCCACGTGACGTCGTAAGGGGAAACGAGTCTGTGACAGTACTTTGACACGGGCATAGAGTCCGGCGCAGCGCACAGCGCCCGTGCGGCATCCCGAGGCCCCTCATACCCCACAGATCAGCCTTTACCCACATACGAGCCAATCTGGTTTCGTCCTGCCATGGGCTCATTAGGGAAGCGACAACAGCTCCCAACCAGTTGTGCCCTTCGATCGCATTGGTCCCCTTCATAGTCAAGTCCTAGACTAGCGACAGGCTACCCAAACATAATCGGGTCGGCATGCCTAACTCGGCCAGACCTTAGTGTCTAAGGCAGAACAACCCTTAACGCTATTGACGCCCCCTTCACCCACATGGCATTGCTAACCAATTGGCCGTTTCCACATTCACTTGGGTCTTCTCACGGTCAAGGAAAAACAGTCCGTGACACTCTCCCCCACCCAACATCTAACATGCCCTCGTGCTGGGGGGAGATGGCCTTTGCACAAGGATCGCCTTACTTAATATTGCATACGCGCCACAAACGCCAGGACATCTCACGAAGAGTAGTCCGACTGAGCTGGCGGCCACCCAAGTCCCATTTTCCTCGACAAGACCCATTCGTTCTTTGCGGACCAACGGAGTGGAGCCGTCATCAGCACATGTGCATCCCTCTCGCGCCACCGTGCTCGCATAATCCTCACCCCCTGAGGATCCCACCATAACTCGCAGCAATATAAGTACGTCCCGCTCTGATACCACTTTGACACGGGCATAGAGTCCGGCCCTGGGCCCCTCATACCCCGCGGATCAGCCTTTACCCACATATGAGCCAATCTGGTTTCGCCCTGCCATGGGCTTATCAGGGAAGCGGCAACAGCTCCCAATCAGTTGTGCCCTTCGTTCGCATCGGTCCCCTTCATAGTCAAGTCTTAAACTAGTGACATGCTCCCCAAACTTAATCGGGTTGGCGTGCCTAACTCGGCCAGACCTTAGCGTCTAAAGCAGAACAACCCTTAACGCTATTAACGCTCCCTTCACCCACATGGCATTGCTAACCAATTGATCGTTTTCACATTCACTTGGGTCTTCGCACGGTCACAGAAAAACAGTCCGTGAAACTGGTCTCATCTATTTGCTTTTCCATTTCAATTTTCCTTCACTGTACTGTACTTCATTTTTTGAAACTGAATACCATTTGCTGAATCTTTAATTTAATTTTTCAGCCATCCCTTGCATGTTTTTGTCAACTTGATGTGACAAGAAATTAGTTTTTTTAAAAATAAAATAAAATACTAGGTTTGAATGTTCATTCAATTCTATGCTTGCTATTAAATAAAATATTTTATTAAAAAAACTAAATAATAATACCAAATGGTGTTGGACTTAATTCTTCACTTGTCTCCGTTCAACAATCTCATAACCACCAATTTAATTGCTGAACTTGGCTTGGTTTCCGCCGGCCCAAGAACCCAATACAACATTTTTCAATAGTATGTAAGTGATAATGATATATTAACGTACACATTGTAATACAAACAAGCTAAGAAACTCACATTATCTATACAAATTAAAAGAAGTTTTTTGAAATTACATAGACATATGGAGAAACATATATATAATTAATTAGTTTGTGGCATTGATCAAAGGCAGAGAAGGGAGCTTCCCATATTCAACACTTGCAGCCTGCAGCTCAACCTCTTCTCCATTATTCTTCTTGCAATGGAAGTACAACACAGTGTAAGCCACCAACTGGAAAACATTAAACAACACAGAAAACATCACCATAACCAACATATAAGCCGTTTCATTAAACAGCCACTTTTCTCCCTTAATTAACCTAAGACCTTGGAATATAACCAAACTCATTAAACCAAACGTAATGTTCATAGAAAACCCATGCAACTTCTTGCCCTTTACCATTTTCCCAGCTTTCCCTAGAGCCTCCAGTCCACACAAATTCTCTTCTATCACTGAAACAACTAAGCCCAGAACCCAATCTACGGATATATAAAGGTAGAAAATGTATGCGAAGATAGCAAACCATATTACTCTATCTATGCTAGTATAGATATTGGAAGACATCATTAGAGGGAAGGACATGGATAGGCCAAAGAAGAAGTAGCCTATTACAAGAAGGGTTGTGTAGAACCATGTGATGAACAGGCTTATCCACGATTTCTTTATCCGGGATAGCATATCCGTGGGGGATAAGGTCTGGTCGGAGTAAGAAAAAGCGGAGGTGAAGATTGTTGCTATGGTGGAAAAGAAAGAGAGAATGACGAAAGAGGCTATGAAGGCGAAGTTGAGCAAGAAAGAGAGAAGGGCATCTTTCCTGATACCCTCGAGTGCGTTTGTGAAATCGGAGGAGTTTGGAGTTGAGATGGGGATAATGGATTCCTTGATTAGCATATCCCGGAATAAGGATTTGGAGGCGAAACTGAAGGCCAAGAAGAAGAGCGAGTAGAAGAGAAGGTAAATTGAGGTTATGCAGGCCATGAGCTTCCCATTTCTGGGGAGAAGATTAATGGATTCCCTCAGAATCACTACAAAGCCAAGAAGATTAGGAATCTCCATAGTTACGTTGCGCGCACTCTCAAGCTAATTAAGGTACTTACTATACGGTGTTGAATTTCAAAGATAAAATTGATATGATAATCCAAAGGGAAAAACTAACAGTCTATTTATAATAATAATAATGCATATATTATTGTGCTTGAATTGAATTTGTCCATGCATTCTGATTGATTCAGTATTGGACAGTAGTTTTAAAAGTGATTTTGTGTAAAATTAAAGTTGACAGAACCGTACCAATTGAATTAATCCGCGTGGAAGGAAAGAAATAGCGAAGCCACAAATATATAAACAACGTACGATTGAAACGTTCAAAGTCAAGCCAATATGGCAAATTAAAGAAAGCGTCATACTTATGCATGCTTAATTAAAGTCTTGTGTCTCTTCCCACCATCTTCCTAATTGCTGCTTCAACAACCTAGAAATATAATGGAGTCCCTGTCATTAACACCTTCCACTGACTTTAATTTTACAATGAGTCGCTTTCTAACTCAACTTTCTTTTTTATATATATATTTAATAATTTAGATTTCCAGGTTTGCTGTCCATCATCTTGAATATCAAATTATACACTTTTGGGCACAAAATGTCTAATCCAATGTTCATGGCAAAAATCAAGCTCCCGCCCTACTATTGGAAGTAAGTCAATGCCCTAATTAAGACTACACCGCGGCCAAAATCAAGTTCCAGCCCTATTGTTGTAAGCAAGTCTTAAGTGAAACTTCTTATTTACTAGACCAATGCCCTAAGAATACACCTCTTGAAGCAGATCCTCGCCTTTGTACGTGGAATTCATCCATTTTTCAATAACACTCCAACTTCTTTTGCTCGGAACAACACTTATTTCCACCTTATATATCAATTATTCTTTGTATTTCAAGTAATTATGTTGAGTTTTATATAATGGAGATTTGTTTAATTTGATTGTTAGGGTGGTATTCTCATTAGAAAAATGCTATTTATTTCTACATGCATATACAGCTCACAAACTTGTCGTGACGAATTTTAATAAATTTGTTGTTAATGGATTATTGATGATTTACATGAAAAGTGAGTTCAATATTTTGCAAAGGAGATGCTGTTTAGTACTTCAACTATCAAAAATGAAAGTAAGGGGAGGAAGCACATTAACATGTGGAAAGTGAATTATTCATTCTATAATCTGTCAAAGTGAAAAATTTCCTACATGTTTGGTAATCCGTAATCATACTTGAAAATCATAACATAGTTGTCTGTTATGTGCCACTTGTGAAGAGGGATAAAAATATGAAAAAACTGCATGCATGGCTTTCTAAGTATCAATCTTATATACATCAAAGCTAAAACAGAAGAGATGTAAGCAATTAGGTTATGATGTTAACACTCAAACAGGAAGGAATACAGTTTTAGTTCATAAAATCACTTCACTTTCAGATCATAAATATTCCAAACTAGCACAAAACTTCACCCTTGCTTCCTCCTCAACACAAGGAGAGGATTCGGATTGCATCATCTTCATCCTTTATGTCCTGTTTACTAGCTTTATCTGATTTTCATAACTAATAGTGTCATTCAAGCCTGCACACGAGAAACAAATAATGTTGGCCTTACTTTAGAAAAGAACCTAAAAAACGATAGAACAGAGCACAAAGAAGAGGGAATGCCAATAAACAAAGATTATAACATCAAGGATGTAACTTTTCATCCAAAAGAAAAGTTTATTACTTTAAAGAAAGTGATCTCTTCAACAATCCATTACCAAAAGTACAGTTCAGTTCTTCGACCTTATCCCAACCCAACCTGCTGCTTCACTTGCATATTTTGTATGGGAGTAATACTACATCTAATATAGTTTCAAAGAGAAGCTTCTAACTCTAGTGGATGTCTGCAATGGTGCGAGCCATCTTCACCCGTAAATTTCATTAGTGTAATATGATGTATCTAAATTGTAAAACATGCATCTTTGAGGCGAATCGTCAGCTCCCAACACCCAATCAATCTTTTGAATGCACATCTGTGCAATAACGGGGCGGGATTAAAGCCATTCAAAACCTTTAGAAGTTCATCCATACCTTCATACCTTCAGTGTTTATATCAACATGTAGGGTTAATTTACTCAAAAATCATAATGCATTACATTTTAGAATGCATATTTATGGGTATATTATATGCTATAACATATACCAGGTGCATACTGTTCAGCCAATCAATTGCCAGTTTCAGTTTCTACAAACTAATGAACATAACTATGAATTTGAAACCAACCAGCATATGTACATAAACGAATGCTAAAAGAGAAAGAAGAAGAGAATTTGAAGAAACTTACAAAAACAAAGAGTGGATGCCAAAATTTAGAAATTTTATCTTCAAACACCAACTTCCCACCATGTCTTCCAATCGTCATTGCTCAAATCGGATCCCCCAGAGTGCAATTTAACCGGGGTCCGACAAATTGGGCAATTGGAAACTTGTGTGAGCCAAGAATCCACGCATTTCATATGGAAAAAGTGGCTACAATCTGGCAAATTCCTACACAGCTCACCATCCTTGAAGCTATCCAGACATATGGCACAATCCTTGGCCGTATGCGCAGAAGAAGCAGAGTAATTGAGGCAAGGGAGGCGGTCCATCAGATCAGGGGCGGAGAAGGGCGGAGGGGCCCTCAAGGTATAACGCTCGCGACGGCGGTGACGGCGACGGAAGGCGGTGGTGGTGAGGAGAAAGTGGAGGAGGACGAGGGCGGCGAAGCCAAGGAAGAGGAGGAAGAGGGAGAGTATGAGGGCCATGATGACGCATTTGAGGAAGACGAAAAGGAGCTTTCTTGGGCTGGTACTCGCGTTTCGCTTAGGCGCTCGGCCTTGCCTATCATGTTGGGGCGGTTCTCGATGGTCGTACGGTATGATTGGCATGTGGTGGCGGTGGGGGCGGCGGCGGATCTTGAATCAACGGCGAATGGATGAGGAGAAACAACGGAGATTGAGCCTTGAAGCCTTGAAGCCTTGAAGGGATAAGATAGTATGGCGCCTGGCTGTGTCGTAGATATTCTTTTTTATACAAATAAAACAAAACTAAAAAAAAAAGGAAAAAAAGATTGAAAAATTGGTACTAGGAAGATGAAGAAGGGGGAGAATTGGAGATATGGGAATGGGAATTGGAAGGGTAATGATGAAAATAGACGGCAGCACCGCACATAGTTTGTGTAAGATAAGAAAACAGTTGACGATGTTTGGGGTGAGTGGGCCTGCCGGTTGACCAACCTACTACTCCTATTCATATTTTGTTATCTATCTATGCTACTAACCTTATCATTTTTCCTTGTGTCCAAAAACCTGGATACCATAGGTTGGTTTGGTGATCCGAGGTAGTCACTCGACGGGCCAATATAATTGATCAAATTAATAAAATATATAAGTAATTTGAGAAGAAAAAATAAGAGACAACAATTTAACATAAAAATTGAAAAATAAAAATCATATACCTTTTTGGACGATATCAAGTCAAATTCATTATTTTTTATAAATAATTTGTACATGTAGTGTTATTGTGTTCTCTTTAAAGTGATGGATTTCTGACTCCTTTTATAAAAGGGAAAGTAATAAAATAGCCAATTATAAATATGTAATAATTGTTGAGCAAATATCCATTATTGTGCAATCTGACTATCAGCTTAGGCTTTTAGTTGAGATGGAGCACATGCTTCAATTTGGTATCAGAGCCATGTCAAAGGTCAAAGGTCATGGGTTGGAATCTCAACGCCACCCATAAGCGACTACGGTCCATGTGTTGCTTGGAACCCACCGCACACGTGAGGGGGCATGTTGAACAAATATCCATTAATGTGCAATCCGACTATCAGCTTAGGCTTTTAGTTGAGATGGTCAAAGGTCATGGGTTCGAATCTCAACGCCACCCATAAGCGACTACGGTCCACGTGTTGCTTGGAACCCACCGCACACGTGCGGGGGCGTGTTGAGCAAATATCCATTAATGTGCACCCACCGCACACGTGAGGGGGCGTGTTGAGCAAATATCCATTAATGTGCAATCCGTAGTTGAGATGGAGCACAGTCGCGAAGCATGGTGCACCGCACACGTGAGGGGGCGTGTTGAGCAAATATCCATTAATGTGCAATCCGTAGTTGAGATGGAGCACAGTCGCGAAGCATGGTGCAGGAAAGTGAAAGCTAAATTCCTAACAACAGCATTTTCCCGACTCTTTTTACAAGGAGGCGCGGTTGACTGAATGCCGACTCCTTTTACAGGCCTCTAGCCAACCCAAACATCTAATATTTTACCGACTCCTTTTCACAAGGAGGTGCGATTGACTGAGCGTCGACCCCTTTCACAGGCCTCCAGCCAACGCCAAACATCTAATATTTTACCAACTCCTTTTACAATAAGATACGATTGACTGAGCGCCGACTTCTTTTACAGGCCCCCAACAAATCCTAAACACCCAATATTTCCCGATTCCTTTTTCAGGCGTCTAACTCCAAGTGAACCAACTTGTACTTCATTATTGTCACCCTTTTTTCAAGGGCCAGACATTGCGACTGATTCGAGCTCTAAGGAGCCGAGTGGCCGAGTGCTTAATGATTGAGAAGTTGATCATTTTATTATCCTACAAAATTGAGACATCAAATTAAATAAAAAGCATTAGCACGCGGTGCGTTCCCTTGAAGGGGTATGGTGCGGACCAATCATAGTGGCTATCCTAAGTTAGGGTGTGTTTGGTTCGCACATAGGAATCGGAATCGGAATCGAAATGGGTATCAAATACTTGGTAATAATGAGTTTTGGTGAAAGTATTTAACATGTTTGGTAGTAGGGTGGAATGGGAATGGTTATTAATAGTAGTGCTTGAGAATGAATAAGGGAATGAAACCCTTATTGTATTTGGGTATGTGTTTTTCAATTGATGGGGTATTCGAAACCCATAATAGTGTTCTAAAAACCTATCAACCAAACAACAACAATCACTTTCATACCCATTCCTATGGGCAAAACCCACCAATCAAACACAC